TGGATAAACTTTTTGTGTGCTGCTGGATCTGGTTTACTTGCGTCTTTATTGAGGATTTTTTGCATCGATGTTCTCGTAGGGATATTGGTCACAAATTCCACCTTTTTTGTTGTGTTTCTACCAGGATTTGACATCCAAGGATGATGTTGGCCTCATCAAATGGAGTTAGGGGAGGATTCCCCTCTTTTTCTATTGATTGGAATAGTTTCAGAAGGAATGTTACCAGCTCCTCCTTACTTCACCTCTGGTAGAAATTCAGCTGTGAATCCATCTGGTCCTGGACTTTTTTTGGTTGTGTAGGCTGTTGGTATTTGCCACTCAGTTTCAGAGCCTACTATTGGTCTGTTGATTCAGCTTCCTGGTTTGTCTTCGGGAGAGTGTAAGTGTCTAGGAAATTATCCATTTCTTCTAGATTTTTCTAGTTTATTTGCATAGAGGTGTTTGTAGTATTCTCAGTATTGGTTTGTATTTCTAACAGGATGGTGTTTGATATCCACTTCATACTTTTTATTGCATCTATTTGATTCTTCTCTCTTTTCTTCTTTCATTCAGTCTTGCAGTGGTCTATCAGATTTTGTTGATCTTTTCGGCAACTCCTGGATTCATTGATTTGCACAGGGTTTTCTGTGTCTCTATCTGCAGCAGTTCTGCTCTGATCTTGAACATTTCTTGCCTTTTGCCACTCTTTTTGAATGTGTTTGCTCTTGCTTCTCTACAATTCCTTTTAATTACGATGTTAGAGTGTCCAATTTGCCATAGATCTTTCCTGCTTTCCATTGTGGGCATTTAGTGCTATAAATTTCACCCTCCACACTGTATAAATGTCCAAGTTCTGGTATGTTGTATCTTTGTTCTCTCCCACTAGTTTTCAAAAAACATCTTTATTTCTCCATCTTTTTCGTTTGATTATGTACCCAGTATTAATTATTCAGGAGCTGAGTTATTCAGTTTCCATGTGGTTGAGCGGTTTTGATTGAGTTTCTTGAAAGTCTGCAGGTTCTAGTTTGATTGCACTGTGGTCTGGGAGACAGTTTGTTACAATTTCTGTTCTTTTACATTTGCTGAGGGAGTGCTTTAAGCCTTCCAATTTTCAGCTGGTCAATTTTAGAATAGTGTGATGCTGCTAGGTAGAATGTATATTCTGTTGCTTTAGGGTGGAGAGTTCTGTAGATGTCTATTAAGGTCTACTGCTTGCTCGCAGAGATGAGGTTCCAAATTCTGGATATCCTTGTTAACTTTCACATCTCATTGTTCCTGTCCTAATGTTGACAGTCAGTTGTTAAATGCATTGTGTGTATGGGAGTCTAAGTCTCTTCCTTAAGAATCTCTAAGGACTTGCTTTACATGCCTCTAGTGCTCCTGTATTGGGTACATATATATTTAGGATAGTTAGCTCTTTGTCATTTGGGTAGTCCACCAGTATGTAATGGCCTTGTTTGTCTCTTTTGATTTTTGATGGTTTAATGTCTGTTTTATCAGAGACTAGGATTGCAACCCCTGTTTTTGTTCTCCATTGCTTGAGTAGAATCTTCCTCCATCTCTTTATTTTTGAATCTGTACATGTCTCTCCACACACATGTGAAGATGTGTCTCTCCCTGAATACAACAATCTGATGGGTCTTATCAGGCCCAGTCTGTCTTTTAATTGGAGCATTTAATCCATTTACATTTAAGGTTAATATTGTTCTGTGTGAACTTGATCCTGCACCAATATGAGTGTGGTTATTTTGCTCATTAGTTGATACATTTCAACCTGCCTCGATGGTCTTTAGATTTTGACATGTTTTTGCAATGGCTGTTCCGGTTGTTCTTCCATGTTAGTGCTTCCTTCAGGATCTTTTGCAAGAGCGAGGCCTAGTGGTGACAAAATCTACGAAGCATTTTGCTTATCTGTAAGGGATTTTATTTTCCTTCACTTATGAAACTTAGTTTGGCTGGATGTAATGCAGGTTTGAAGATTCTTTTTCTTTAAGAATGTTGAATATTGGCTTCCCTCTCTTCTAGCTTGTAGAGTTTCTGCAGAGATCTGCTGTTAGTCTGATGGGCTTCCCTTTGTGGGTAACTTGACCTTTCTCTCTGGCTGCTGCCCATACAGATTTTTCCTTCATTTCAACTTTGGTGAATCTACAGCAGTACACATGCATGTGCTTGGAGTTGCTCTTCTCAGGGAGTATCTTTGTGGCGTTCTCTGTATTTCCTGAATTTGAATGTTGGCCTGCCCACACTAAGGTTGTTCTCCCTGGATGATGTGCGTGAAGAGTGTTTTCCAACTTAATTCATTTCCCCCTCACTTTCAGGCATGTTGGCCTGCCCTACTAGGTTGGGGAAGTTCTCCTGGATGATATCGTGAAGAGTGTTTTCCAACTTAATTCCATTTTCCCCCTCACTTTCAGGCACCCCAGTCAGACGTAGATTTGGTCTTTTTACCTAATCCCATACTTCTTACAGGCTTTGTTCTTTTCTTTTTCTTCTTTTTTCTTTAGGTTTCTCTTCTTGCTTCATTTCATTCATTTGATCCTCAATCGCTGATACTCTTTCTTCCAGTTGATTGAGTCAGTTACTGAAGCTTGTGCATTTGTCACGTATTTCTTGTGTCATGGTTTTCATCTGTCAATTCGTTTATGGCCTTCTCTGCATTAATTATTCTAGTTGTCAATTCTTCCACTCTTTTTTGAAGATTTTTAGTTTCTTTGTGCTGGGTACGAATTCCTCCTTTAGCTCTGAGAAGTTTGATGGACTGGAGCCGCCTTCTCTCATCTCGTCAAAGTCATTCTGTGTCTAGCTTAGATCTGTTGCTGGCGATAAGAGCGCATCGCCCCTTTTGCAGGGGGCGATGCGCTCTTATTTTTTGAATTTCCAGCTTTTCTGCACTGCTTTTTCCCCATCTTTGTGGTTTTATCTGCCTCTGGTCTTTGATGATGGTGATGTACTGATGGGGTTTTTGGTGTGGGTGTCCTTCCTGTTTGTTAGTTTTCCTTCTAACAGTCAGGACCCTCAGCTGTAGGTCTGTTGGAGGTTGCTTGAGGTCCACTCCAGACCCTCTTTGCCTGGGTGTCAGCAGCAGGGGCTGCAGACGATAGAATATTTCTGAACAGCGAGTGTACCTGTCTGATTCTTGCTTTGGAAGCTTACTCTCTGTGGTGTACTCCACCGTGTGAGGTGTGGGGTGTCGGTCTGCCCCTAGTGGGGGATGTCTCCCAGTTAGGCTACTCAGGGGTCAGAGTCCCACTTGAGCAGGCAGTCTGTCCGTTCTCAGATCTCAACCTCCATATTGGGAGATCCACTGCTGTCTTCAAAGCTGTCAGACAGAGTTGTTTGCGTCTGCAGAAGTTTCAGCTGCTTTTTTTTGGTTGTTGTTGTTGTTGTTTAGCTGTGCCCTGTCCCCAGAGATGGCAGACTGCTGTGCTAGCAATGAGGGAGGCTCCGTGGGCGTGGGACCCTCCCCGCCAGGTGTGGGATATAATCTCCTGGTGTGCCCGTTTGCTAAGATCCTTGGTAGAGCGCAGTATTGGGGTGGGAGTTACCCGATTTTCCAGGTGTTGTGTGTCTCAGTTCCCCTGGCTAGGAAAAGGGATTCCCTTCCCCCTTGCACTTCCCAGGTGAGGTGATGCCTCACCCTGCTTCAGCTCTCGCTGGTCGGGCTGCAGCAGCTGAACAGCACCGACTGTCCCGCACTCCCTAGTGAGATGAACCCAGTACCTCAGCTGAAAATGCAGAAATCACCTGTCTTCTGTGTCGCTCGTACTGGGAGTTGGAGACTGGAGCTGCTCCTATGCGGCCATCTTGCTCCGCCCCCCTCATTGTCTTTTATCTTAAGAATTAGTTTCACTTTTCTGTTTCTCCAAATGTCAAGTATTTCTAAATTATATCCTGGCAATTATGAATATCATATTCTTGAAACCCTAGATTGTGTTATATTCTTCTGGTGGTTTTTTTTTCTTTAATATATAATTAATACTATTGGATTGAAATCTTTATGCATATGTGATTCAGGGGTCAGGTGGAGATTTGGGTAGAGTTTATACAAAGAATCTGGGGCTCCCTTTCTTATATTCTTTTCTTTGTATAATTTCCCTCTAACCTTTCCAGTGGCTTGAATTGTCCTGAGTCCTCTGGTGGTTTTAAAATCAGCTATTAGGCACCTTGAATGGCTCAGATAGGAATTGCTCTCAAACTAAAAACCACAAAAATGAGAATCTTACCTAGAGTTCTTCCCTTCCTCCAAGTGTCACCTTCCCTCAATAATCTACCTACACTTGGCTGGGTGTGTGGTGGCTCATGCCTATAATCCCCGTGCTTTGGAAGGCTGAGGCAGGAGGATGACTTGAGCCTATGAATTTGAGACTGCAGTGAGGTAGGAACCCACTGCTGCACTCTAGCCTGGGTAACAGAGCAAGACCCTGTCTCTAAAAAGTAAAATAAAATAAAATAAAATAAAAAGTTAACAAGTCTGCCTACTCCTGATTGTTCTCCTATTGTTTGTACTTGTATTTAGTCCAGAGTTTATGGTTGTTATGTGTGGCAGCATTTGTCCAGTGGGAACTCAGTCATATCAGAAGCAAAAGTGGAAGCTCTAAATATGGTCCTCAAAGTGTCTTTAATTTGATGGAGAATTCCTGGAACATCCCGTGAAATAGAATTTGCTCATTTGCACAAAGCCAGAACAATGTTTATTTTGTGTTAAGGGTAAAGGTTCTTCTTTTAGTAAAATTTGAAATTTTTCTTTTTAAATATTTCAGGCCTAGAGGAAAGGAGAAATGAAACGTTTAATTTATTGCAATTGTAATTTTCCCGATTCATGCTCAGTTTGCCTGTGAAAAATCAATAGGAAGCTTTAGCTTCAGGCATTATCCATCATGACACCTGAAAGGTGTGCAGTTCAATGTCTGTGCTCAAATCTTATCTTGGCTATCTATGGGTTTTAGAAAAGTAATACCGGTAAAACTATATTAATTAAAAATACCAAAGTAAATACCGTTTTCCCTCTTGTTATTTCCTAGAAAGTAGCACGTCTGGAAATTGAGAACAAAGTCCTTCAGGAGCAATTGAAACAGGCTTTACAGGTAAAGGATGTCATGTTTCTTTAACATTGTTAACAAGTAAAAAAAATATCCACAAAGAACTTTTCAAATGAATAATTTTTACTTTGTAAGCTAAGAAGTCTACATATTCTGCTGTTTGGCCAGGTTTAAACTATATTCATTTTATGCATTAGGGATATATTAATAAAATTTAATATTCGTTCTTATCAAAAATAGTGAGATATAAAGAAAAACAAACTTTCTTAAGCTAATAATGGCAATCTATTCTTCTGTCATGGTTGCAGTATAAAAAAAAGAAAAGGAAAAGAAAAAAAGACAATATTTCAAACTGATAAGCAATATACTTAAAGGTAAAATACTGCAGGCATTCCAATTAAACTCAGTTGAACCAAGACGTTAACTCTTACTACTCTTTTTAAAATTCTAGTTAAATAATACAATAAGAAATGAAAAAAACTGTAAGCATTTCATAAATGAATAGACAAAAGTATATTTGTGTATTATAAAATTCTATTGCCTACCATCTTGGTAAAAATGTAAAGGACAGAAATATGTAGTATTTGTGGTTATATACTGAAATGAGCAACTTTTCTCATACTTCTATTATCAAAAAAGTATGAATTGATATATTCATCATTTTTTTGATAATAGAAGTATGAAAGATATTTGTTATGTCTTTTCTGGGAGACAGAAAAGACATAGCAAACTTGGAAAGATGTAGTCTTTTCACTCAATAAAAGCTTTTAAAAGTTTGTCCTAAAGAAGAAAAAAGTATACAGAGAGTTTGCACAAGTATGTACAATGTCATATGTTGTCATAGCAAAAATTTTGAAATGATCTAAATGTCCATTGATAAGGAGTTTGCTAAGACAATTATGGTATATTATTAAACGTACTTCTGTTACCTATTCTGATTTAAATGTACATTTATTGTTATAGAAACATATCTATGACATTATTTAATGAAAAGAGCATAATATGTGAGTATGTATAGTATGACCCAATTTAGATAAACATTTAAAAAATTTGGCTGGGCATGGTGGTTCATGCCTATAATCCCAGCACTTTGGGGGGCCGAGGCCGGTGGATCACTTTGAGCCCAAGAGTTGGCAATCAGCCTGGACAACGTGGTGAAACCCTGTCTCTACTAAAAATACACAGACTGACTGAGTGTGGTGGTGTGAGCCTGTAGTCTCAGCTACTTGGGAGGCTGAGGTGGTGGGATGACTTAAACCCAGGAGACTAGAGATTGCAAAAAAACCTGAATATATATATTTAAACTTTTCTAAATATAGCCAGTGTGTATATATATGTACACACACTATATATGTGTATATAGTGTGTATGTGTGTGTGTATATATATATGTAGTGTGTATATATGTATACACACACTAGCTATATTTAGAAAAGTTTAGAAAGGATATACCTCAAAATGTTAATAGTAATTTTTCTTTATGAGGTGAGATTATTTGTGAATTTTCTTTTTGTTTATGCATTCTTTTATATAAGTAAGTTAATTGTATGACTAAATAAAAATTATAAAAAGTGACATTTTTGAGAAGAATTTTATTCCAGAATAAATAAGTTGTTTTCCACATTTTATTTCATTCTTTGATATTATAGGTGCTAATTATCCTTCTTATAGTCTATCAGTTTTTATAATATATACCTTATATGAATTTTTATTTTGCTTGTATAATAATTAGAGCCTTAAAAATAACAGCCAGGAGAAACTCGTGGGTATAAAAATAGCCCTCAAAGGTGGAAGAGGTTTCTTCACAACTTCTGATTTTAACTGTGGAATTATTAAAGTATGAATTATACCAATAGCTTACCTTTGCTCACTTCAACTCAGTAAAAATGAGTTGAGAAATCATGTAGGCATAAATATATGTAGATTTCTGAATGTGGTAGTATTGGCAGGAAAATATCAGAAAATGCTTAATAAACTGGTACTTCTTTAAAAACAGGAAGCTGAAAAAGCTAAGCATCAACTTAACTATTTCCTAAGTCAAGAGAGGAAGTTACTTAAAAGTGAGGGGAAAACTGAGACAACCATGCGAGTGGGTAATAGTCAAACAGAAGTTAAAGGTGAAGATTCAAAAACTATACAATTGGAGAAGGAAACAGGAAAATCACTGGTTTCAGATTCAGGTGGACAGAAGACAAGTGATAAAATCCAAGAATATCCACAGGTGAGGAAATAACCAAAATGGAGACAGTAGTATATGTTGTGAGAAGTTTGTCTTTTATATTATTATTTACTTCATTTGTATATGTTATTTAAAAAATCATGCTTCTGTTTTTGGGTTTGTTTTTACTTTTTCCCTTTACCTTCTGGATATGTCAACTCATTATTATCTTGAATACTAAACTATGACTTAAATATATACTGATTTTGAATGACCACATCAGCATCTGAGATTTGAGTCCTTTATTTTTACCTTCTCTTTTTGTGTAATTTTTGTTGTGAACGACCTCAACTTCTTCCTGGAAAGATAAATAATAAAGATAGTTTCTCTGAGGGCAATAAAAATTATTAAAGTTGTTAGGTCATGTATATAAATGGAGTAAGGTACACTGAATTGAATATAAAATATTTAAAGAAATGTAGGATTGTCTGTCAGCTGCTTTAAGACAAAGAACAAAAGAATCAGCACAACTTAAAATCTGCTAGTCATTTTATAGCTGCTATTATTATAAAATCTGCTAGTCATTTTATATCTACGTATATGGGCTTGTCATTTACACAAGACCATAAGATAGCTATTAGCACCTCCATTTTGAGGATGAAACCAAAACTTTAAAAAATTAGCCATGCCACATTACAGTGAGTAATATTGAGTTAGATTTCAAATTCAGGTCTTTCCAGCTCCAAAATCACATCTGAAGATACCTTCTTTGCTTGTCTACATGGCTGCATTTGAAACTTGCTTTGTTAAAAGCTTTATTGTTTTCTGTTTCCCAGTATTTATCTCCTAATCCAAAACAAAGGTTTTCATATATGACAGAAAAAGTTAAATAGTAAAATGAACCTTAGCAGAACAGTAGCTAAAACATCACATTGCTTTCACACATAAGTGATTCTAATTTTAGTGGGTTTATATATAGATCAATACACATCTGTCTTCTTGTGTATCTAGCTTAACACTCATTAATTAAACATCTATTATATGCTAGGTTCTTTGCATAGACGGTGTATATAATGTCATGTATTCAGATGGCTTGTTCTGGTAATAGTGAAACAGGAGATATCATTATTGGAGATTTTGATGTAATAGAAGTTTATACTCACTGTCCATGTTCTTACAGTAATTTAACTGTAATCTTCTTTCTCAATCACTGTATTAAAACTATTTTTGCCAAGGTTACAACAAATCTATTTGATGCTATTCTGAAGGATGCTTTATAGTTTTTTTCTTTCTTTCTTTTTATTTTTTGAGATGGAGTTTCTCTCTTGTTGCCCAGGCCAGAGTGCAGTGTTGTGATCTCAGCTCACTACAACCTCTGCCTCCCAGATTCAAGTGATTCTCCTGCCTCAGCCTCCCGAGTAGCTGATATTACAGGTGCCTGCCACCACGCCTGGCTAAGTTTTTATATTTTTAGTAGAGATGGAGTTTCACCATGTTGGTCAGGCTGGTCTCGAACTCCAGACCTTAGGTGATCCACCTGCCTCAACCTCCCAAAGTGCTGGGATTACAGGCATGAGTCACTACGCCCGGTCAGATGATTTATAGTTTAATCTCATTTGTCCTCTTAGCAGCATTTAACCATGTTTAATCATTTATTTTTAAATATTTTTGTATTATACTTTAAGTTCTGGGGTACATATATAGTCTATAGTTTGAGAAACAGCATAATTATTTGGTTTTCCTTATATATTTTTGGAACGCCTCTTTGGTCTCCTCTTGCTTTGCTCATTCTTTAAATGTTAGTACTTCTCTGGGTTCTGCCCTAGAGTTTCTTTTTATTCCATATACTCTTTCTGAACATGCTCATATACCTTCATGGCTTCTAGGGCCATATAAATCTCTTATCTCTAACTTGAATAACACCTCATTTCCAGACCTATTATTCATTAACATACTGAATTTTTCTATTTCAATGGGCTTCAAACATCTAGAATTCACCATGTCCCTAAATGAACCAATTGCGTTCTTCTCAGACCTGCTTTATCTCTCAGTATTCAGTCTCCTGGCATCCTCATCCAATTGCTGAAACTATAAAGTCCAGCATCACTGCTATTTCTTCTTTTCCTTCATCTTGACCCAATTATTATCTATCAAATTCTGTCCAGTTTTGTCAATATTACTGACAGTTCTGTTAGTCAAGCTCCCACCAGGACTCTAATTGGTCTCTCTCTTTCCAGGCCAGTCTCCTTGTTGGTGGCTAGTCATCTTGCAAAAATTGATATTTGTTTGTTACCTTCTTGCCTAAAATCTTGAATGCTTTCTACTGCCCTTACTTTAAGAACAAAGTCCTAATTATGGTTTAAGGCTTTGTTAGATCTGGTCTTTTCCTGAGGCCCCAGCCTCACCTTTAATTATCCCCCCAGGCTATTGCACGTGCTTTCATATGCACATGTGTATCATATATTTTATGCTTTAGCTACACTGAACCTTCTTTAAGTGTATAGAACATATGGTGTTTTCTGTAACCTTAAGTATTTTGCCTATTTTGTTCTCTGCTTGAAACACTGTTTCTCCCTTCTCCGTTTCCTAAAATGTATCTGGTTAAAAGATAAATGAGAAACAAAAAGTACTGTTTCAGTTATTTTTTGCAACATAACAAATTATGCCAAAATTTAGTGGTGTAGACAGCAAACATGTACTATCTCAGAATATTTGTAGGTCAGGAATCCTAATGTTCCTTAGCTGTGTCCTCTGGCTCAGGTTCCCACTCACAAGGATGTAGCCAAGGCATTACCCTTGGCTGTATGTATTTTAAGGTCCAACTGGAGAAGGATGTACTCCCAAGCTCATTCATGTACTCACATGACTGTTGTTAGGCCTCAGGTTCTTGCTGGCTATTGATTTGAGACATCAGTACTTTGCTATAGGGGCCTCTCCATAATGTAGCTTACAACATGGAAACAAAGGCAGAGTGAGATATAGGGAGACATAGATGGAGAAAAATCGACATGGAGACAGAGACAGAGAGAGAATCTAATCTTGGAAGTGACATTCCATCACTTTTGTCATATCCTGTTCATTAAAAGTGGAAGTAGTCACTAGTGCCAGCTCACACACAAGGGAAAGGTATACCACTGGCGTGAACACCATGAGCAGGGATCACTGTTAGCCATTTTAGAGGCTGCCTATCATGAGTATTAATAGATAAGCATGAGATTGTGAAAATTCCTGAATCGAATGCTAAATCAAGCAGTTTGGTCTTCAATTTTCGGAAAAGAAAATTTCTGGGTAAAGGAGTAACATGTAAGATACCGTTTGAGATGCACATCCTTTTTTCTCACATTCTATTTGCTACGTTTAACTACAGGGAGAATTAACAAATGTAGACTAACAATGTGTCTAAGAAGAAGAGAAAATTAGTTTGTTGACCATTTAGAAGTCTTTGCCACAGGGGAATAAAGATAAAACCAGTTAATCTCTGCATAAAAGAAACTGAATTAGATGAAAATCAGGTCCAGAATAAAACCTAGAATCAACATTTATACTATAGGAAAGTATGTATTATATTCACAAGAGGTAATTTATTAATAAAAATCACACTTTTAAGGCCACTGGCCTTTTTTTTTTTTTTCCCGAGATGGAGTCTCACTCTGTTGCCCAGACTGGAGTGCAATGGTGCGATCTTGGCTCACTGCAACCTCTGCCTCCTTGGTTCAGGTTCAGACAATTCTCCTGTCTCAGCCTCCCGAGTAGCTGGGATTATAGGAGCCTGCCACCACACCCAGCTAATTTTTGTATTTTTAGTGGAGACAGGGTTTCGCCATGTTGGCCAGGCTAGTCTTGAACTCCTGACCTCAGGTGATCTGCCTGCCTTGGCCTCCCAAAGTCCTGGGATTACAGTTTTGAGCCACCTTGCCTGGCTGGCCTAACACTGTTGGTTACATACTTCTGTAAACATATTTGAACATGTATTCTCAGTATACTTATTTTAAAATTGATAAATTACAAAAATCACCTCCACAGTTTATTATGCATAATATTAGCATTATACATCCTTCAACAAGAATATTTAAAAGGATTAGATAATTATGTAATAGATAAGTTTGAAATAAATTCTGGGCTACTCTGCCTATGGAGCAGGCCTGCTCTGTCTATGGAGCAGCTGTTTTCTTGTACTCTGTTGCTCTAATAAACATGCTTTTCTTTCATTCAAAAAAAAAATTTTTGTTTACTAAAAGTATAAAACCTTATTTGCTTTTAATTTAGAAATACAAGTGTAATTTTAGGGCCTACTCTCCTTCTATAGTGTGTCTTCCAATGCTAAAATATAATTTCTTTGCTTTTTCAATACCTTAATCTTACAAAATTGTCATATTAAATGACATTTTTCTAAATGACTGAATGTAAACATTGTATATGCATACTTGATATTTTTAAATCTAGTATTATCTTTATCACAGATCACTGCCCAAAGCGGAAGACTGATTGAAAAAAGGTAAAACACTTTTTAAAAATTTGTTCTGTCTTTTTCTAATCTTTATCAGTTTGCATACCTAAGTAATGAAAATAACCATATTAAATTTTGTCACAAAACTCTTTGAAACTAATTTTAAGTAGAAAATGTTAGAAACTTTAGATTTCAAAGTTTGAGGAGTTGATGCAGTCAAAAGTAAAAATTAAATGAAAAATTTAAATTAAGGACCAGGTCTATGTACAAACACACTTTTTTTTTCTGACAACAACAATTAAAATTTCCAGATAGTGAGGAACTAACCCTTATTTTCAACTTAGTTATCATCAAGATGCATGAGCTAGATACATTAACAACTTACTGAAAAATCATTTTTACCTTCTATTTTAACTCAGTTACTATACGTACACATATATATGTACATGCATTCACATATATAATTGAGTTGATTGATTCATCCAATTGAATCTTATAGTTTTCGCTAGTGAGTCTCTTTGATTATTATATTATGATTGATTCACAGACTTTCTTGATTCACATTACCATGGAGTAAAGAGGAATTACCTAGAAGTATGCATTTATGTACTTCATTGCCATTTTAAATATTTATGGATTATAGACCCAGGTGAATTAGCAAGAATTAGGTAATAAGTGTAATGATTAATGGCCAGAAGTTTTGAAAATGTTCATTTTAAATGTTTGTAGTGAATGTTTATATTTAAAAGTACATATTTTAAATACTAACTAGATACATACTAAAAACTACATGTTTTAAATACAATGTGCAAGAGAAAATTAGACATTGGTTCACTTGTTGCTTTGCAAACTTATTATGGTTGGTTTCTTATTGTTGATTTCTTTATATTTTAAATATGTATGGTCAGCATTATAAGCATTTGAGAATGTATAAGGAAAAGTATTAATAATTATCTGCAACAGTAATGGGAACTTATGTATCATGCAGAAATAGGAAGAAATAAAGCAAAAGCATGGTGCTTTTTTTTTTTTTTAATATGGAATCTGGCTCTTATTGCCCAGGCTGGAGGGCAGTGGCATGATCTCAGCTCACTGCAACCTCCGCCTCCTGGGTTTAAGTGATTTTCCTGCCTCAGCCTCCCCAGTAGCTGGGATTACAAGTGCCTGCCACCGTGCCCGGCTAACTTTTATATTTTTAGTAGAGACGGGGTTTTGCCATGTTGGCCAGGCTGGTCTCAAATTCCTGTCCTCAGGTGATCCACTCACTTCGGATTCCCAAAGTGTTGGGATTATAGGCGTGAGCCACTGTGCCCGGCTGGTGCTCTTATATTCATACTCAGATTATGGTAGAGCATGAAATATTACTATAGTTTTCCATGCAATCATGGTGACCTATAGCCTTTGAAAATCCTGCAGAGCCAGTAGTTTATCACCCTGAAGAACATGAGGTGGTAACTTTTGATATAAGTTGTTTTAATATTGAACATTTAGTTGCTGCTGATAAATGTGATAGGCTCTTTGTACATTGGTAACTCCCAGAAAATACAAACATTGGCTTACAAAAAGCATTTTAAAGAGAGTTTCTAGTCTCTATGAAGACATGGTAAGGTAGTCTCAGTTACTTTCCATGGGTGTTCGGAAAAATCTTAAAGAGGCATTATGATAATATTACCTAGTGAGTTACTACCCCTGCCAGCCCTCATTCTACTTTTCTGATAAGTCACATTTTAGAATTTTAATGGGAAGTGATAGAATGGAAGAAGGGTTCAATGGAGAACAACAGAATGAGGATGATAGGACATCAAGATTAAAAAAAATCATAGAATCAATATATCAAATAATCCCTCTTAAATGCCTTTTTTCCCCTAGAAATGTTGATTGATGTAATAACTTCAGGAGGAAGATGATTGTAATTCATTTCAATTCAGTTTAGCTCAAATGAGGAAACACTGACTGAGCATTCATGCTGTGCAAGGCACTGTACTGGGTATTATGGTATATAAAGGGCTTTAAATATATGGTCATTGCCCTCAATGCATTAACAGTCTAGTAGGGTCGACTAGACATGTACAGAAATAAGTGGAGTATAATGCAGACGTTGCATTCTATAAAAGATTACCAAGAAGCTACATCAAAGAGGAAAAGTTGTTTCTGACTGGATTAAGAATTACATACCATTTAATTTAAGAAGGATGGTTGGATTAGATTTTAATAGGGAAATGTGAGGAAAGGGTGTGCCAAGTGGACAGAACTTTGCTTTGAGGCAAAGACGAGGATGTTTAGAATCTATACAGTGTGCTCAGGAAAAGGCCAAAAATTCATTTTTTTTGGATCCTAGACTAAGGACAATAATGGGAAATATGAGATGAAATAGGTTGTTTCAGCTTGATAGGTTTTATAGAATTGCCCTCAATAGATTTAGGTTAATTATTATATATTATATAATAATATAATATAATACATTACATATTATATTATATTGCTAAATATAATAAAAATTCAAACTATTAAGCACATGACACAATATTATTCATCAACCTTCATTTTGGGTTACTTCTTAGATCCTAATAGAGTTTCTGAAATACTTTGGAAAAGTCTCCCAAACCTTCAGAGAGTGGATGGGAGCGAAGTAAGGAGACCCCACCTGAGCAGATACATGGTATTGCTTACAATAAAGTACAATTTTGCTCTTTACAACATTTATCAGTTTATTTTGGCTTAGGGAATGGAGTTAGTGGTAAATAATCAAACAATAGATTTTAATGATTTATTGTTTCACATCATGTGTGTTGTTAGCTTTTCTTAAATGTTTTGCGGCATTGAAATTCACACTTTTTAGAAATGAAAATGTAAACTAATTCATGGTGTTTTATTTTTAAGAGTTACACAGTCAACCTATTTCTTTCTAAATACTTTCATTAGGACTTTCACTATTACTTGGGTTTTCTATAAAGCACAAAATCATACAAGAGAAGAGTGGTGTAACATGTCCATTTTTTTTTCTCCATAGATTAGATGATTAGCTGTTGAATTTACTCATTCATTTATTCACCCAACTCATTCAACAGATACTATTGTCACCTTCATATGTCCAGTTCTTTTTGGGGTATTGTGTTTTACTGAAAAATCAGACAGATAAGATGCCTTCTCTTGTGATACTTACATTATAACAGGAGAGACAAAACATAAACAAGTAAAAATAAATGAACAAGATGATTTTAGAGACTAATACATGAAGGTAATGAAACTACATATCTGACAGTCATAGGGAAGGATAATTTAGATTGGGTGGTCAAGGAAGGTGTTAACAATGAAGAAAAGGCATTATCTAATTGTGAAATAAAAGCTGTTAAAATGTTTTGTTTCTTTTCAATTTTTATCAAAATAAATTTCTGCAAATGAAAATTTATGTTATAACTAAAAGATCTAGACTAAAGGAGCTTTTAATATCCTCAGTTAACTGGGATAACAGTTAAGGGGCATATGACTAGTGACCCAAATAGTAGTCATAAGGTAGATTTTATAGAGGAAACCTTGCAATCCAGGAAGCAATAGAGGATAAAATATCCCCTGAGTTGTCATTATTCCATACAGAAATAGACTTAGATTAAGCAAAGCTGAATTCACCATAAAAGATGCTGCTGAGAGGAACCACCTTCTCACATATCACTTTACAAAATTATAGGGGAATTGGGAGGGCATAGAGAGCATCTTATCAACTGTGTATCACTGAGAGCTTCCTGGTTGGGGCAATGGCCTTGTTGGAAAAAGGGAGAAGGGAGTAGGTACTTTATATACCAATGTAGCTGGTATCAGTGAGTCAAACAGTCCTGCTGAGCCAGCTCTGTGAAACCACAAAAAGAGGGAAGAAAGAGAATCACCAGGACCATCCGTGAATAAAGATTTTTCTCACTGCTGTCCACCCTTTGATCTTGGAGACTCATTATTATAGATCTCTGCATTAGCTCTGGCTGACACTTGGACCTGAGCATACCAATTTCCTTAGTATTGTCTGGGAGAAGAATATTAGTAAGGTCACCAGCTGGGTTAGATGAGGATGTAGAACCAACATCCTAATAACTTCACATTATGAACCCTTTTTCCCGGCTAAGTGCGGATACCTTTGTTTTGGAATGTCTGTTCCATATCTACCATAGGAAAGAGAAAGTCATTCATCACCTCCCTTGAACATCTGCCTCCAACCATTTCCCAGGGTCAGATATGTTCACATCTGACAAACAGATCTGTTTTTCTCCATGGAGATGAGCCATATTGTCCTTTGTCTGGAGTGATAGTTCAGTGGGGACCCCAAAGTTACCATTTTGCCATCATAGGCCACCTGCAGGGTTAGAAGAGGATGTCTGCAGCACCATCTGATGCTTTTAAATGAGCAATATATTGTGTGTTCCCTTGCAACTGAGGTCAAAGCAAAGGGTGTTAAAAAAAAAAAAAAGAAAAAGAAAAAGAAAAGAAAAGGAGTATGCTATTCCTCTTGAAATGATATTTTTCTCTACTCCTTAACTTCTAGGTACTTTGGAGTTTAACCATGGCAAGAGGGGCCCTTGCTTGGTATGGTAGCCTGTAACTTGTAAACAATTAGGGAAAAGTGGACTGACAAGCCTGGTGGAGGTTGTTTTCAAAGAGGCTGCCTTAAATTGCAAGTAGAATAAGCTTGATGGAGAACAGTGGCCTGTATGTCTTTTTTTTCTTTTTTTTTGATATAGGGTCTCACTTTGTCTCCTAGGCTGGAGTGCAGTGGCACCATCATGGCTTAGTATGTCTTCAACCTTCCACACTGAAGCCATCCTCCCACCTTAGCCATCTGATTGGCGGGGACCACAGGCATGCACCACCACACCCAACTAATTGTTTTATTTTTTATAGAGACACAGTCTCCCTATGTTGCCCAGGCTGGTCTAGAACTCCTGGACTCAAGGGCTTTTCGCACCTCAGCTTCCTGAAGACTTCTATGTCTTTTGAATAAATTCCTTATTGTCCATTGTGTTCCTTCATGGTGGGATGGATTTGAACAGGGACCCAAGACTATA